CTTTAAGGAAGGAAATCTGCAATCTTGCCTACTTTGACTTACAAACTCCAGACCCAGAGCAATGTGTATGACTCCTGACCGCCTCTACCCTCTATCCCCCAACCCCTCGACACTTAGCCTAGCCAATGATGCCCATATCCCATAAACATTTTTTTTTTACATGTGATGTAAGGTATAGTTTTATTGATAATGGAAGATTTATAAAAATGCAAAACTTGAGATTTTTAGGCATGAATCAAAACTTTTACCACTGGCCTAAGAGTTAACTGTGCCAGCTGATCATATGAAACTATGTTGTAAGTGTCTGCCATTGCTGATTATGAAGTGGCAGCAAGACCATTTGATTTTTGACATACAACTAGGGGTGACTGAGTAGGTACAATGTTGAAGGCAAAGACACAGTTGCACTGGATTTCTAGAGACCGGAGGCCAAAATGAAATTTGGTCATGCCCATCTGCAATTAAACAGCCAGGCTACAGATGGACACTGGACAGGGCTTTAGAAGTTTGACTTACATATTCAGGGTGCTCCACAATTGTCCTCAGTGGTTGTCCTGTACAAATGTCATCGTGTACCAATTTGCCAGCCCCTGCACTGCACTACAGGTAGAAGATGGGAAAATGCAACCAGAAACTTGTACACTTTTATCCTTTGCTTTTCACCCAGATGTTTTCAAAAGTAATGTTGACTTTCTGTCCTTCGCCACATAATGTTTTGGGAAATGAACCAACAATACTGAGGAAAAATGTCAATGATTAAATTGTTGACATTGGGAGGAAATGACAAAATGAACCAATCCTGCCTATTCATTGTTGATTTGCACATATTCTTATTTCAGCAGTGTAATATGCACCATTCATAATGTAATGTTAGGCAGGGGACCGGGAGGATGCCTGGAAAATTTCAGGAGCATTGTGTTTCTGAAGAGTCAAGTATATGTGGTTTGAACCAGGATTTTCATTTTTACAAAACAAAATAAAAATGTCTGTCATCTATTTCTGTAAAGCAATTACCATTTTGCAAGTTGAGTTTTTGTGGCTGAGAAATGTTAACAAGTTTCTTTTGTCTGCAAGCGTGCTGCACATTGTACATTTGGTGGAGTCTTGCTGGTTTTTGAAATTGTTCTTTCATAAAACACTGACTTGGAGGCATTTATGAGCAATTAATTCACTTTTTTTTGTGCTGGCCTTGCCCTAGTAGAAATTATAGAACTTTATAGGAAGAGAAACAATCCGAGCCATTAGCATCTATAAACTGTCTGCCCTTCTTTTGGAAACAATGCAGTACTGGTGATGGAATCCTAGTATACTTAGCACAAAAAGAACAATAGTGTGATAGGTGGCCCTAGAAAGTCTCAAAAGAGAGAGGGTAACTTAGCTAAATATCTTATTCTCGATTCTATAGGCACTCTGATAAATAAACAAGCTGAGGTAGTAGCAAACCACCTTGGTGAACTCAACAAAGTTGTGGAAGTCTACAGGCTCTCATCAGACATTTGATGATGTTGTTGTCAAGCGCTTCTGCAAATTAGCACAAAACAACCCTTAAGTTGCATCATTCAGGTGCTTGCTACATGGAGTTGATTTTTCTAGCCCTGGTGCAAAGCTGCTGTTTAGGACCTTGCACCTAGAAACTGAGAAGGCTGTAGGAACAGGAATGGCCTATGGGTTATGGACCTCTAAGAACAACAGCCTAACACCTCCAGGTCTGAAAGTCTACCACGAAGGCTGAGTTGGAAAGGCTTTACTTTCCTGTTTATCATGACTTTCTCTTATGTCTGATTGTTTCAGATCCCGTGAATCAAAATCTTGGCAGCTCTTAGCAAGGCTGCTAAGGGAAAATGGGGGAAATCATTCCTAGTCCATTATTAGATCTGCTGTTTTCTGCCCCTTCTGTAGATAGTGGCATTTTATATTCTCTCTCTCGCCCTCTCAATTTCACCTCAGGAAATCCTGGGACAATGTGAAGGTGATAAGAATGGTCAATAGCACTGGATTCCCAAGGTAGATTGGGAAGGAAAAATCATCCATGGTCTTTCATACAGAAAACGATGTTTGTTTTAGAAGCAATAGTATGCTCAGCATTTCTTCACTTGGTTTGCTGATTTCTCTAAGCATTGAGCAGTTGCTGTCCTGTGTTTGTAATGTCAAACGTAATCCTGGTGAGTTGAAGTTTATCATGATCTCGGCTTTGAAGTCTCTGGAGCAGCAATGGGAGATACTTTAGATGTATTTAGGACCATCCAGTTAGCACAGTGGCTCAGTGGTTAGCACTACTGTCTCACAGCATCAGGGATCCAGTTTGAATGCATGACTTACAACTATCAGGAGACAGTATGTCACATCTGTCTTCATCAGGATCTTGTGCAAGACTAACTTCCTCTATCCAAAGACTGTTTGATATATCAAATTGGGTTGAGCTAATAAAATCTCAACAGTAGTTCTTTCAGAGCCATTATATTATACAACATGACTAGATTAGCAGAGCAATGTCAGGGCACACAAGAATAAGAGAGGAAAGACAATTTGATGTTGGTATATCATTGAAAATCTAGGTCAGGATCTCAGTCCATTCTAGTTAAAGACAAACTAGCATACCACAGAAGGATGTAGACAAGGTGAGGTAGACTTGGAGGTCAGAGTATACTATTTTGTATAGTGGGTTGGGCGGTGGTGGAAAGTGTTGGTGTGTATAATTGGGGGTGGGGGGAGGTGTTCAGTTGTTTAGTCATCCAGGAGTTAAACTAAGAGTTTTCTATTTTAACATTTCCTGGATAACTATGTAGGTAAATAAATTGGAGCTGCTTAAAAGCTCTGAATCCAACATAGAGTCAGACTTTTTTGGAGGGTCCCGGGGAGTAGAGTAATTTACTGTTGTTAATAAAAATTTGATGAGCAATTCCCATGAATGTCAGCATGTTGGGTCTTCTGTGGAGTCCTGACACACATCTTGTGTTGTGTGTCCCATCTCCAATGATTCACACAAGATCTGGGCCTCTGTTGTCTCAGCCTTGAATATTCTTTCCTGTAGTTGTTTTGTCTCCCATCATGGCCTAACTGCTATTTTCACTGTTGTTGACTTGATTCTGTCTTCGATACAGTTCCTTGGGACCAGTGCTTGCTTTCCTTTGCGTGCATGTTTTGCAGCTCAATTTTATCCTCTACCACATTAACAGTATTATTCGTACTTTCTCTTTGTGCAGTATTCTTAGTCGTGTGATTTGACCTTGCTTTTAGTCATTAACACTTGGTTAACCATTACTCCCACGCTCGCATCGTGTCAAAGTCTTTGTGCTATCTTCATATTAACAACAAGCTGCATTTATGAACCTTCTTTAAAAATGACCCAGTGTGCTTCGTAGTGAATGATCAAATAAAACTAGACTTGACTTGCCAAGGAGATATTGAACTAAAACTTAGTCAAAAAGGGAGGTTTTAAGCATGTGTCTTAAAGAGGTAGAGGTTTCAGGAGGGAACTTCAGCGTTTAGGTTTTGTAGATGTTGGCACTCTTTCTTGCTGACTATCCTCAACAATGCTTGTGAAATAGAGTCGATGAGAATTTAATCGTTTAAACAAGATGTTCCCCAATGCAATTCTGTGCCTTCTAGGTAGAATAATAATGTTGTTTGCCTGAAGGCTTCAGTTCTTTCCAATAGTAGAGAATTGCAATTGCTGTTTTTTTGTTATGAATTCTTAATTTTTGGAAAGCTTTCTAATTTTCACTTTGTTGCTTGCTGCAAGTGCTTCTTCAGTAGGAGATCCCAAGCCTGAGATTTCCAACATCTGAAAGGACAAGAACAGCTGGGATCTGAAATTCTTCACATGTTGCTGTTCTTTTATTGTTGCTGAGTCAAAATCCTCAAGTTTTCTACCAAATGACATTGTGGATGTACCTCTGCCAAATGGATAATGAAGTGGGTCAGCAAGAAAAAAAGAATTGCACTTATTTGCTGTTTCTCAAGGACATTTAGGAATGGGCAATAAATGCTGCTCCTGCTGGTGATGCTCATGCCCTGAGAATCAATTTTTGTTTTAAAAAATACTTTGAAGCATGGGCAAATTTACTGCAATGTAAACATTTCAACTTGCTACTCAATGATAATTTATTTATTGCAACAATGTACAATTATTGACTTGTTTGTCAGAAAACATAAATATTTAAGGACAATGGGACTTTAAAAAAAGGTTTACAATTATATAATGTCTTCCATGATTGGCAGAGGTCCCATAGTGTATTTCTTTCAATGCAGTACTTTTTAAAGTTATACTGTAGGAAATGTGGCAGCCAATTTGTGTGCAGCAAGCTCCCATAGTTTGAGAATGAGAGAATCTGTTTTAATGAAATGAAATCAATTGGCAAGGACACCAGGGATAACTCCCCTTCCTCTTCATTGAAATAATGCCATGGATCTTTTGCATCTACCTGCTTGGCAAACATGACCTTGATTTAACATCTTATTAAAACAACAATATCTCTGATGCTGTAATGCTCCCTTGATCCTGCACGGGGATGCCAGTCTGGATTGTTGTGCTCAATTCTGGGAGCAGGACTTGAACCCATAACCTTCTAACTCAGTGGTAAGAGTGCTACCAGTGAATCACAACTGACAACTTAAAGTGCCTTAATCTGGTTTCCAACAACTTTATATGCGCTGCATGTTGGAATTAATAGACAAGAATGAGGTTGTAGGAGGAGCATCTTTTGAAGAGATTTATGAAACCAGTCTTTGTGTTTCTTTTTTGAACCTTTGATAAACTACACCACAGCAGCCTCAAAGAAGTGTCTGGAACTACAAATTAATAGTGTTTGGCAAAATTTACTTTAATGAAAAATGGACTAAATATACTTTTATGTTGTGATTACTGAAGTATATAACATATTTAGCAGCTGTCAATAATTTTCTTGCCTGGATTTGGCTCCAGTCTATATTTTAAAAAATGGTCTTTAATACCGTATGTTATATAATGTCTGCTGAGACTGTTTCTGTTTTATTGCCAGCTCCATGGATATATGGAAAGTGAACCACTCACTCTACAGCTGTTCATTGGGACAGCAGATGATCGCCTGTTGCGACCCCATGCTTTCTACCAGGTCCATCGAATCACTGGGAAGACAGTTTCCACAAGCAGCCATGAAAACATCATCAACAACACCAAGGTGCTGGAGATTCCACTCTTACCAGAAAACAACATGAGAGCAAAGTAAGCCTGCTTTCAAGTGTCTCCATTTTTTAAGAAAAAAAAGGTTCCTCTGTTCACAGTTTTTACCATGACCTGAGAAGCCATTGTGAAGCAAAATGCTCATGGAGTCTTTTAAACTAATTTTTTTTTCCCTAATGCCATGTTGTATCATTTGCAGATTCTCATTGCCACAGAAATGGACCTTGTAACTTAACTGAGAATATATTACAAAGATTACTGAATACTTTTACATATATGGTAGAGATTAATGCAGAAGCCATTAGTTGCAATATGAAGATATTCTGTAGTTATCAGGAAGCAGTTGGAATGATGATTTTCTCTTGTTAGTACCGAGGTTGTCATTATATTCTTTACATGCTTTTTGAGTTTTTTATAGATGACAGGCAGAAAATCATCCCATCGTGACTACAGTTTACATGTCAATCATGGCTTAGTGGTAGCATGCTTGCCTTGCAGTCAGAAGTTTGTAAGTTCACCTTCAACTCTGGAGTCTTGTGCACAAAATCTAGACTGACACTTCATTGTGACACTGTTAAGGGGGCAGCATATCTTTTGGTTGAGGTGTTAAGCCAAAACCCTGTTAGCCCTCTTAATTGTATGTAAAAATCCGACAACATTACTTTGATGAAGAGCAAGCAATTTCAAACTAGTCAGTCAATACTAATCTCTCAACTAGCGTCACTAAAAACAAATTACCTGGTCACTGTGCCATTACTGTTTGTGGGAGCTTAACATCGCCAAATTGTCTGCCATGTTTCCTACATTGTAATGGTGACTACACTTTAGCACATCCTGACATTTTGAAAGATGCTAGCAAAATGCAAGATTTTCTTTATCCAGGTAATTCAACAACATGTGCCAGGAAAATAAGTTGCCCGCTTCTGAGATGCGAAAGCTTAATGTGTTGATTAAAAATAACTTCTTCTGTTAACTCAGGGGAAAGGCTGCATGTTTAAAGTAAATGGCTTAGCACTGTTGCTCACTGGTATCCCCCACAAAATATAGGGTGCACTATTATAAAAGATGAATGCTTTTGTTTCTAGTTTTAATTTATGTTAGATGATGATGCCAAAATCAAGCTTGTTAAAAGTGGTCATGTATTAAAAGAAAATCTCCTTGGGTTTATGTTGAAATAATTAGAATGTTCCATATTGTGTCTGAACTTCTTCAATAACTTTAATGTTCCTATGAAATAATTTCATTGGGTTCTTTTTGGTCCTGTAACTAATTTTCTTGCAGTAATCGTACTAGTTACACAAATCCATGTACATTTACCCTGCAAATGTACTGTTGGTGGCCCTTCAGTACAAAACATAGGACAAGCCTTTACCCTAGCAAAGAATCATAGAATTTTACAGTACCGAAGTAGGCCATTTGTCCCAATCATGTCTGTACCCACTTCCAAAAAAGCTACCCAACTAGTCCCATTATCTAGCCCTATCTCCGCAGTCTTCTAACTTCCAAACTTTCAAATATATATCCAGCTCTCTTTGAAACCTTGTATGGAATCTGCCTCCACCACTCTCCCAGGCAGTGCATTCCAAATCTGAACAACTTTCTGAGTAAAGAAGTTTCTCCCCATCTCACTCCTAGATTCTCTTGGTGACAATCTTGAAATTGTGACCTATAGTTACTGACATACCAACCAGCAGAAACAGAATATCCTGCTTTACCCTGTTAAAATTGTTCATAATTTTGAAATCCTAATTAAGGTCACCTCTTATTCTTCTATGCTCCAAGGAGAATAAATACAGTTTCTGTAATCTTTCCTTGTATCTAAAATCCCTCATTCCTGGTATCATTCTAGTAAATCTCTTTTGTGCTGTGTCCAGGGTTTTAATATCCTTTCTTAAAAAACTGAACACAATTCTCCATTGTCACTATTTTCTAATTTGATAAAGGCAGACGCAAAGTACTCATTTAGTATCTATGCCATACCCTTTGCTTCAGTGAGCAGTTTACCCTGCTTGTTCCTTATGAGCCTCACTGTAACCCTCATTAATCATCTGGTATTAATATGTTTGAAGAACATTTTACTGTTCATTTTAGTGCAGTCTGCCATCTTTTCCTGATGCTTCCTCTTAGCCTTCCTTATTCCAGCCTTAACTTCGCTCCTGCATTATTGTTGGTAATGTTTTACTGAATCAGCAAACTGGTGTTAGGCTGAAACTTTTTTTTTTATTCATTTGTGGGATGTGGGCATCGCTGCCTGGCCAGCATTTCTTGCCTATCCCTAGTTGCCCTTGAGAAGGTGGTGGTGGTGAGCTGCCTTTTTGAACTGCTGCAGTCCTCCTGCTGTGGGTTGACCCACAATGCCATTAGGGATGGAATTCCAGGTTTTTGACTCAGTGACAGTGAAGGAACGGCAATATATTTCCAAGTCAGGATGGTGAGTGACTTGGAGAGGAACTTGGAGGTGGTGGTGTTTCCATATATCTGCTGTCCTTGTCCTTCTAGATGGAAGTGGTCGTGGGTTTGGGAGGTACTGTCTGAGGATCTTTGGTGAATTTCTGCAGTGCATCTTGTAGATATTACAAACTGCTGCTACTGAGCGTCGGAGGTGGAGGGAGTGAATGCTTGTGGATGTAGTGCCAATCAAGTGGGCTGCTTTGTCCTGAATGGTGTCAAGCTCCTTGAGTGTTGTTGGGGCTGCACTCATCCAGGCAAGTGGGGGGTATTCCATCTCACTCCTGACTTGTGCCTTGTAGACGGTGGACAGGCTTAGAGGAGTCAGGAGGTGAGTTACTTGCCGCAGTATTCCCAGCTTCTGGCCTGCTCTTGTAGCCACTCTGTTAATGTGTTGAGTCCAGTTGAGTTTCTGGTCAATGGTAACCCCCAGGATGTTGATAGTGGGGGATTCAGTGATGGTAACATCATTGAATGTCAAAGGGCGGGGTAAGATTGTCTCTTATTGGTGATGGTCATAGCCTGGCATTTGTGTGGCACGAATGTCACTTGCCACTTGCCACTTGTCAGCCCAACCCTGGATATTGTCAAGATGTTGTTGCATGTGAACATGAACTGCTTCACTATTTGAGGAGTCGCGAATGGTGCTGAACATTGTGCAATCATCGGTAAACATCCCCAATTCTGACCTTATGATGGAGGGAAGGTCATTGATGAAGCAGCTGAAGATGGTTGGGCCTAGGACACTACCCTGAGGAACTCCTGCAGAGATGTCCTGAAGCTGAGACGATTGACCTCCCACAATCACGACCATCTTCCTACGTGTCAGATATGACTCCAATCACCGGAGAGTTTGCCCCCTGATACCCATTGATTCCAGTTTTGATTCCAGTTTTGCCAAGGCTCCTTGATGCCACACTCGGTCGAATGCAGACTTGATATCAAGGGCTGTCACTCTCACCTCACCTCTGGAATTCAGCTCTTTTGTCCATGTTTGAACCAAGGCTGTAATGAGATCAGGAGCTGAGTGGCCCTGGCGGAACCCAAACTGGGAGTCACTGAGCAGGTTATTTCTGAGCAGGTGCTGCTTGAGAGCACTGTTGATGACACTTTCCATCACTTAAGTAGGCAGAAGTAAGAAAATATGCACAATTTCTGCAAAGTCATTAAACTGTGCATATTTTGCCATTATTCTTTTGTCACTTACAGGAGGAGCACAATAATTGTTTTAAGATAAGAAGATTAATGGATGATTTGAATGAAGTGGTCAAAGGCAACAGTTAGAGTTGATGGAGGGAAACTATTTTCACTGAAAGAAAGTCTAAGAATGTTGTGTGCTTTATATATCCTAGTTCAATGTGGAGATGAGATTAGTTTCCATGTGTGTAGAAACTTTATTCACAGTGTTTTATGCAGTGCTTTATATGTCTTTTATATGGTTTTAACACTGCCTTCCAGCTTTTTCTACAGCTTTGTTTACTTTTCTCAGAGTCCACACCCAGGTTTAAGCAATTAAGCACAGTGAATGCCAGTAATAAACAGACTCCATAATCAAACAGATCATTGAACACAACAAGGACCACAGGATATAGTCTAAAAATTAAAGCCAGACCTTCCAGGAATAAAATAAGGAAACATGTAGGAGTATTCACCATAAATGATGATAGGTTAACTGTAAATTTTGAACCTGAGATTGATAAATTTTTGTTATCTACAGTTATAAAGAAACATGATTAAAACTGGGTTATATGAAGTTGTATCACACATCTGCCATGATGTCACTGAATGGAGGCAGGCTTGAGGGGCTACCAGTTTATTCCTGTTGTCTACACGAAATAGCACATGCCACTATCACCAAGATTATATGCAATTATCACACTTTTCCTTCCTGGAAATGAGTGTAGAAATTTTCAATATACTGGAACTTCACAGTGACACTCAGGCTTCTGTTACAAACCCTGAAACCACTCTTCAAACAACATTTGTCTGTTTTATAGATAGTAGGAACTGCAGATGCTGGAGAATCTGAGATAACAAGGTGTAGAGCTGGATGAACACAGCAGGCCAAGCCGCATCAGAAGAGCAGGAAAGCTGACGTTTCGGGCCCAGACCCTTCTTCTGACCCTTTTTACTTCAGTTGGCCTAATTCAAAATTTTTAAAAGTCAATCTGCTCTCTAAGTATTATTACACCATGTTGCCAGCATTTTCTAAATGAATTTTCTCTGAATGGTTTATCTATGGTCTTACGAAAAGGCCATAAATTGTATCAGTAAAGCTATCTATTATTTAAAGGATGGACATTATTTACATGTTGCAGTCAGGTGATAAAGAATTCAAACCCTGTCATGTTTATTGTAGCTGGAAAAGTAGTTTAGGTTTCAACATCTGTCCTTATAATAATTTTTTTGTCATCCAACAGTATTGATTGTGCTGGGATACTGAAACTTAGGAATTCTGATATTGAGCTGAGGAAAGGTGAAACTGACATTGGAAGGAAGAATACGAGAGTGAGACTGGTCTTTCGTGTACATATTCCACAACCTAACGGTAGAACTATTTCGCTGCAGGTTTCATCAAACCCAATTGAGTGCTGTAAGTATAATTCACTTCCTGATTTAGAGAAATTGAATTGTGGTGGTGGCATTGCGGTAATGTCACTGAATTAGTAATCCAGATCCCCATGCTAATGTCCTGGAGACATGTGTTCAAATCCCACCATGGCAGATAGTGTAATTTATATTCAATAAATATTGAGAGTTTTTTTTTAAATCTAGGCTAATGGCGACCATGTTAATTGCCTTAAAAACCCATTAACTTCACTAACATCTGTTTTGGGAAGGAAATCTGCCATCCTTACCTGGTCTGGCCTATGTGTGACTCCAGATCCACAGCAATCTGATTGACTCTTAACTGCTGTATGAAGTGGCCAAGAGAGCTATTTAGTTCTAGGACCATTACGGTAGAATATTAAATGATCACCTTTCCAGTAACACCCTCATTCCATAAATTAATAAACCAAAAATTAAATGAGAATTCTTCTAAATGCCTATCATAACGGTAGATGGGATTAATTCAGTGCTCCCACTGCAAGACTAAGTCCTAATGAGTGCAGACCAAAAACAGTGCTGTAACATTGCAGCATTAACCTTTCAACTTTTGAGCATGGATTTCCACTTAGAACATGGGATCTGTGCACTTACTTTTTTGGTTTGCCAACAGCCTCTCTCAAACAGAGGGATTTGGCATTCACTCAGTTACATCATATAATAGCACCACAAGATTGTGAGCTTTGCAAAGCTCACTGAGATCTTTTATGGAAAGAAATCTGCCATCCTTACCTAGCCTGGCCTGTATGTGTGTCTGGATTCACAGTAAATCACTCAGTTTAAGGGCAGTTAGCAATGGGCAACTAATGCTGTCTTTGCCAGTGATGTCCACATCCCAGGATAGAAAAAAAAAGAAAGTTGCCAATGGTTGTGTCTAAGCAAAATAAATTGCAGTTATATATTTTTGTTTGATATCTGTTTAGAGTTTGTGCACTAATACTTTAGAAAGTATGAAAGACATGCATAACTAAAAGTTTTTTGTATATGCTGTTCCAATAGCATTGCTTGTAGTGAGACTTGTCATCTTACCACTTCCTCCAGACAGAATGGTAAAATTCTGTTAACAGCTGTATGTGCATAATACCACCATGGTGCATTATATTCTGCACAGCACATGATACTACATTCATGAAGGAAGTTGGTTGTCTGCATTTTCTTCTTATAAGAGTTACTGATACAAAAAAAACTCTGAACCGAACTGTGTCACAAGCACCAACATTAACATTGTCCATTTCCAAAGACTTGCCTGAGCACCGCACAGCTTTAGTTTTAAATTTGTCTTTCTCTTTCAACGTTGTTCTTCTCTGAAAGTCTACTGCAATCTTCTCCAAATTGTATATTCTGCATATATGAACCTGGAATGATTATGACTTAATGCACCCATAACTGGATCTGTTCTGTTGGCACGAGTTTCACTTGAATCATGCTGCAATGTAGCACAACTGGCCTCGATTTGAATCAGTACTGACTCATGATAGAATCTTTAGCATAACTGATGGGTGTACCTCAGCACCAAACCAGGCAACAAACCATCAGGAAAACTAAATCTCCTAAAATTTCTTGTAGCAACAGTGGGGAAAGAAAGGTGGTGTTATTGTGAAGAAACATTTGCCAAATGTTGAGCAGGGTGTAGAAGTCATTGCTTTTTTAACGGAGTTACATGTTAGTTTGCCTTACATTTAACACTGTGTTGTAGATGTCTATAGTGAGGTTGACTCGATGCAGGCATGCTTGCTTTTTGTGTGGTCTCTGGTACTGATTAATACCATCCACTGAATCAAATTTTAGCCAGAATTGTTTTTCAGTGGTTTGTCTTAGTGCAATGTTCCAGCAGATGGTAGAATTGACTCTGTATTGTTCACACCATCAGTTCATACAACAGGCTTTCAAACAATACACACACAACCTCTAATCATGTATAGCCTATCTTCAATCAGTGCTTCTCTGACTCTCTTAATGCACAATTTTGCACAACCTACCCTGATTTTATTTGATACAAGAAACCCAAAATTTTATATATCATATAGCAATTTAATCTCTTGACAATTTTAGTGAAGGGTACTGTGTGACTCATAGGAACATGGATTCACATTCAAAACTGTGGTCGGAAAGTAAGTTATGAAGAGAGTGCAAAGCTAATGTGCAGACGGAAAAAGTAATGCAAAAGGCTAATTGTGTGTTAGTCTTTACCTCAATGTAATTAGAATAAAAGAAAATTAAGAAATGATACTTTAGTTACACAGAATCTTGGTCATGTGCCATCTGGAACAGTGTGTTCAGTTTTGAAGACCAACAACCAAAAAGGCAAAAATCATCTTAAGAGACCACATCGGATATTCACCAGAATTGTGCCAGGGCTTAAGAGGACAGCTTGAGGACAGACCGCAACAACTTGATTGGCATAGACTCAGTACGATCAGAGTGGTGTAAATTTTTTGATATGAGAGAAATGGGTTTCAATTCATGAGGCAGTGGCATTAATATTGGATGGAGTATCTGTGGAACTGTATCTGTTGGGGATGGGTTACACTTGAACTGTGCTGTGACCGTTGCCCTGTGAATCAGATATTCATATTGAATTTTATATTTGTCTTCGTGGTAGAAAACAGTAAAAGTATCCCGAAACTAGTAGGATGTCAAGAGACAAAATGAAGGGAGGAACGTAAATCAGTCACTACCATGAGTGGAAAAGTATCTGGTAATCAAATGGTCTCGCTGACAAGACCTCGGGACCTGCTGGCTGTGGGGCATAACATGGGAAAATGTGGTATTAAAAATAGAAAAATATAACATATAAATGGAAAACAACTACAGAATGCTGCAGTGCAGATGGATCTGGGTGTCCTGAATGCTTAAGATTTAATATGGAGGTAAAACAAGTAGTTGGGGAGGCAATGGCCTAGTGGTTTTAGCGCTGGACTGTTAATCCAGAGACCCAGATAATGGTCTGGGGACCTGGGTTCAAATCCCGCCATGGCAGACGGTGAAATTTGAATTCAATAAATATCTGGAATTAAGATCTAGTGATGACCATGAATCCATTGTCGATTGTCGGGAAAAACCCATCTGGTTCACTAATGCCCTTTAGGGAAGGAAACTGCCATCCTTGCCTGGCCTGGCCTACATGTGACTCCAGACCCACAGCAATGTGGTTGACTCTTAACTGCCCTCTGGGCAATTAGGGATGGGCAATAAATGCTGCCTAGCCAGCAACGTCCTCATTCCATGAATGAATAAAAAAAAGTTAGAAAGATAAATGGAACGTTGGTCTTTATTTAAAAGAGGGGTAATGTATAAAAGAAGGGAAGTCTTGTTGTAACTGTGCACATTTGTGATGAGAGTATACCTGGAGTACCGTGTACAGTTTTATTCTCCTTATTCCATTGGAGACAGCTCAAAGAGCATTCACTAGATTTATTCCTGGGATGCAGGAAATGTCTTCTGAGGAAAGATTGAACCAGTTGGGCATATGCTTGTTGGAGTTAATAAGAATGAAAAGTTAATTTATTGAAGCATGTAAGGTTTAGAGGGGTATTGACAGAGTAAATGCTGAAGATGTTTCCCCTTTGTGAAGGAGTATTGAACAAGTAGCATAGTTTCAAAATAAGTTGAGGCAGAAATTAGGACGAATTTCTTCTTGGAGACCACTGAAACTTTGGCATTCAGTACCATGTCAAATTAAACATATTCAGAGCTAAACTAGACAGATTTTTGATCCATAAGAGAGGCGAAAGTGATGGGGACAGTTAGGAAATCGGAATTAAGTCCATAATCAGATCAGCCATGGACTTATTGAATGGAGGTGCAAGCTCAAAGGGTACTATGGCTTACTTCTCCTACATTTTAATGTTCTGTTCTCATTAAGGGTTTAAACTTAAAAAATGAGGGATAGGGTTTTTAGGTGTTGGGGGAATTTAGAAAGTTAATGAGAAAGGTCAAGGACAGGCGTAGGGTTGTGATATGGGTTGTGATAGCCATTGTGTACCAGGAAGGGAAAGAGTCTACAAACACAATTGTGCACCAGGAAATAGTGTCAGAGTAGGGAAAAATAGTAATAAGTGAAAATCAAAGGCTTGTTATCTGAATGCATGCAGCATTTAAAACAAGTTGAGTGAATTGATGGCACAAAGGGAAATAAATGGGTATGATCCGATTACCGTTACAGAAATATGGTAACCAAGACTGGGATATAAATATTCAAGTGTGCTAGATATTTCCGAGTGAATGGCAAAAGGAAAAATGAGGTTGGATAGCTTTTTTAGTAAATAATGGGATCAACACGTTAGTGAGTATTAGCTCAGAAGATCAAGTTGCAGAATCAGTTTTTAGGTGTTGCTAAGATTAGGAAAGAACAAATTGTTGGCAGAAGCAATTATAGACTCTTCTAAATCTTTGATGGAATATATATAAAGAAATGATGGGGGCTTTAAGAAAAATACTATAATCGTGGGCAACTTTAATGTTCATCGAGATTGGTTAGCCTTGAGAATAAGTGCATTTGGAACAGTTTCTTAGAATGATAAAATATGGAACCAACTAGGGAACAGGCTATTTTAGATCTGGTATGTGTAATAATGTGTTATTAATTAATGATCTCATAGTAAAGGAATCTCTAGGGAAGAGTGAAAATAACAAGATAGAAATATCATATCCAGTTTGTGGGTGACAAGTCTGGATCTGAATCTATTGATTGTAAGGCAATTGCAAAGGTATGATGACAGAATTGGCTTAAGTTGTATTTGGAAAACAGATTAAAAATTGAAGATAGTATATGAACAGTGATGGACATTTCAGGAGATATTTAAAGAAAGTCTCTGAGAAAGGTGAATAGTCCATGACCAACTAAGAAACTTTAGGACTGTATCAAATTGAAAGAACATGCATACAATGTGTGAGCATTAGTGGTAGGCCAGAAGATTCAGAAAGAGACACGGTTGACCTGGACCTCAGCAGAACTTCATCGTCTAAGTCCCAGTTCCGTGTATTGCCCACACTACAGATATGGAGCCAATTTGTCCAGCCTCTCATAGGACAACCTTCTCATGCCAGGGACCAATATAATGTACTGCCTCCAATACCAGAAGTATATCTTTCGCTAAATATGGAGACCAAAATTACACACAGTGTTCCAGGTGTGGTTTTACCACAGTCTGGTAGAATTGTAATAAGTCATCGCTACGCTTTTGCTCATGCACTCTTGCACCAAAGGTCAGCATGCTGTTTGCTTACTGAATTGCTGTTGTTTATGGGATAAAAGGGTTAATACTGATTTGAGTGCCATAAGCACCACCCTCTGTAGTGATGTCATAAGGAGTGATGGGGAAAGTGAATATGGATCTTGAAGGAGTGAAACTTAAGAGCAGATCCCCCTAGAAATCGTTGTAAGAATGTATGCCATTTCCTTGTAACATTTAAGTAGTTGCTGAGATGCAATAAACTATATCTTATTCTTGACAAATATTCTACTAGTTAGGTCAGAAGAAGGCACTGGAAGAACTTAGACTAGAAATTATTGGTGGAAGTACGTACAATGTGGTGTTTAGTTTCACCACACCGTTGCTTGCTATAACTGGATGCCAATCCTTTGTGTTCCTTGTACAAATATTCCCAAGTTTCTTGATACATCTTTAAACAACTCTAATAAATTTGTTAAACGAATTTAGCAAAACCATGTTGAGTTGTTCTGATCAAACTATGCTTTCCTAAATGCATGGTTAAGACTTCCTTAGTAATAGGTTCCAACACTTTCCCAATGACTGATGTTGGTTAGCCGTACTGCAGTTCCTTCGTTTTTTTTCTCTCTCTCTCTCTTGCTAACTTCTAAAGTGCTGGGATGTTCCAATATTTGAAGAATTTTGGAAGAATTGTGACCAGCATGTCCACTTCTCCGCAGCTATTACTTTAGAATCCAAGGATGTAGGCCATCGAGTCCTGGAGGTTTGTCAAATCTTAGTTCCTTGAGTTGCTCCAGTACTTTTTCTCTGCTGATATCGTAGCCTTTTCAGAGGGGCCATGAACCAAGAGTTCGAGAAACTGTTTGGATCCCATGAAAATTGTGTCAGTCCATGAGCTATGTTCCCTCTCGGTTAAACTGGACAAGTGGCAATGCAGGGCTCAGGCTCACGACCACGTCCTTATCCCAGGCCAGTGAAAATAGGATTTGGGATGGGAATCCCAGAATCAACCCAACTCTGAAACTCTGAGTTGAAGCATTCTTAGGATTTGAGGGGATTGTGTGCGATTTTATTTGAGGTGTTTAAAAATATTAAAATGAGCATCTTAGCAATTGTTCTTGTTACTCAGTTTTCTTCTCCTGTTACCTTGAGGCACTGGTCTTGACTGTTTAAGGACTGGTGGACTATAACAACAGTCAACAGTCTCAAAGCACACCTTTGACATGAACTCCACTGATGTTTAAAATGCTCTATTGATGCAAATTGAATGTAATTTGCCAGGCTGAAGTCCCTTTTTACTTTGTTAAATCTAGATCTGCTTGCATCCATTCCTGTCCAAAGTCATCAATTTTGCACATATCTTTGTGTAGTTTAGGAACTTGCAGAGACTTTACTCCTCCCAGTTAATAAAAATAGTGAAGAACAAGGAACCTAAAAGCAATTCTTGTGGAATATCACCAATAACCAGTGTTAATACAAAAGCACTCCTATTAATAATAACCTTCTGCCAATGAAAATTCAAGCAATTCCTCAGTCAAGCCAAATTTTTACCAACAATCCTGTAGGACTACATTTCGTATTGTGTGAAAACTCTATTTTAGCAAAAAATGCCTTTGTTCATCCAGTTTATTTAAGTGAATTGATGTATTTTAGTACTACATAAGATTAACAAAGTCCCAGGGAAGCTTTGCAGTCTCCCTGTGGAATTATTACAAACGAAATCCATGTGGAATTTCAGCCCTAGCATCAATTCTGTGAAGCAAAGTTTGCAGCAAGACTGAAATGTAAGGAACAAAGGATTGAATACTTTTGTCCTTCAGGTATGGATCTTGGACAATTTTGCACTTCAGTAACAGAGAGCCGATATTAGGTATTTTGTCAGGACTCACTTAAATTGGAGAATGATGCTATTCAAATTGATTGAAAAGGATTGCACTGTTGGTGGGAGGAGGCAGTATGGGACTGAGGGAGTTATAATTCTCTTTGACACACAAACTCTTCATATTTACAGGTACTTGTACAATAATTCTAGAACTAGAAATACATCTATTTAAGGGTGGTTATAAGGCTGTTATCTAAATTAAGGCTTAGATAACACTCTAAACTGAAAATAAAACATAAGCACTTTATATCCTTTTTTTTAACGTCAGCTACTGGATTGGAAACTGTGCTTTATACTGATGAAATTTTAATTTTAATTTTCCTCAAATGATTGAATTAGTGCATTAGCAATTGCAAAGTTTTTGTTACATGCTAATTAATAAATATTGTAAAATGCGCTTGATCTAAAAAATGATAGTTCAGTGTACTTGATTGATAATTTATTCCTATGCTCTCAGCTCAGAGATCTGCACAGGAATTGCCACTGATAGAAAAGCAAAGCATTGACAGATATCCTGTGATTGGTGGAAAGATGATGATTTTAAGTGGTCACAACTTCCTCGCAGAGTCAAAGGTCATCTTTGTGGAAAAGGCAGCAGGTACGTTGAAAGGTGCTTAGCGTGCTATCTTGGCAGGAAGAAAACTCATTGAGGTAAATTAGCATTTTAGTCAAGAAATAAAGTATTTCTGCAAAGAAAGGGGTTAATTTAACTGGATTGTCGCTTTCACACTTTCCTTTACAACTACATTCTTCTACTGGTTTGCATTTTACATTTTCAGAATACTTTGGCTGACCAATTTTTTTTTTCCCTTTTCTCATTTGTAAGAAGAATTCCTGCAAGATTTTTGGAAAGTGAAATATATGACTTGAGTTGGAAATATTTAAATAAAACATTGAGTTGTCAATAGTAGAAAAGAGTATACCTGCTTCCCTGAATTCTAGGGACAATGTATAAATATTTTACTGAAGGCCACAGGGACCAGTCATGATATAAAATAATATGTTACTGATTAAGGACTGAAAATCCTGTAAAAGAAAAAACGAGGACATTCTATTTATACAGCTGTTTTATGAATACTTTTAAATTGGCAATTGGCTTATGTATGTATCTACTTTACATTTGTAAGCTTCTGTAGGTATGAATTCACAAATAGAACATTGAGCAATTTTAAGTGTATTTTTGTAGACGTTTGTTTAAGAACTGAACCTTGCTCCCTTTTAGCTAATGTTTTTATCGTAAAAGTTAGTACTTTGAACATTTTTTGTCCAAATTTATAATAGTTTCTACTTATCTAATGTACATTATTTGGAAACTGATATTTTACATTTGTTTAAGGTGCATAGGCAGAAGAAAAATTGTGTAATTCTATAAGGTCTTTCATGACTTTAGGACATCACATAGTGCTTCACAGCCAATGAAATACTTTTGAAGTGTAGTCATTATTATAACATAGGGAAACGTGGCAGTTCATTTGTACATCGAGCTTTCTCAAGCTGTAATTAAATAAATGAACAGACCATCTGTTTTCATCATTTTGGGTGAATGATAATTGTTGGCTTGGATTTTGGGAGAAATCCCGTGCTCTTCTTTCAGTATTGCCATGGGATCTTATGAGTCCAACTGACAGGGCAGACAGAGCCTCTGCTTAACGCCTCGTCCAAAATGCGTCACCTCCAACAGTATACCAGTGCTTCAGTAGTAGCGATGTATTGGCCTAGATTATGATCTCATGTGCCTGGACTGAAGCTTAAACCATGAACCCATAAGGCAAGAGTGCTGTCAATGCAGTAAAGAATCACTGTCCAAAAGCATGGCATTCTCTGATAATGGTAACTGAGTGGTATTCCTGTACAACATGCTTGCAATGAAGCATGGAAGTAAGTGTATTTAATTTGCTTTTTCTCCCAGCAAGGACAGCTTCCTATTAGTCTGGAAGGAGACCAAATGCATTTACTTTCGGAGCTCCATTGCGATCATGGTCTGTGGAATTCCAGCTGGCTGACACTTTCGCAATTTTGAGCTCTTACAGCTTTTTCTATACCTCTACAGAGGAATGGTTCAAAATAAAGATTTACAAATGAACACACCACGTGAATTAAAAAGTCATCACTTATATGTTAATCTAAGTTCCATGTATGCATTTTAATAAATGCTAAACAAAGTAACTAACATGAACTGAGACCAAGATAATTGTGAATGATATTTGATAGACCCACCTGGAGAACATCAAATTAATTCTGTCAGAAGGTGATCTTACCCTGGGCTTAAGCTCAGTTTTGATTGCAATGGTGATTGAGTTGGAACCAGACAAAAGGGTTTATCATAACATAGACATTTTTCTTTTGTGCAGTTGGAGTCTCAGTGCGTATTTTATGAAAAAGTTCATACTATATGGAAATTTTTCAAATGACTATTCCTCAACAGTGACAGTGTTAGAATTTATGAGTCATGATCATGACCTGAATGAAAGGAACCTCTTTTAAGGGTTATTGTTTTGGAGGGTTTCCCTGATGCTGGCACAAACTATGAATTCCACAGCTGCCTGTGGAAACCTTCTGAACTATGAGCCATCAATTGAACATCTTAGTACGCATCCACTTCAGAGCCCTTTTAGTACAGTTTGACGTTATGTCTGACATGCTTGAGACTAGGCGACTTCACATTTTTTGGATGCAAGTTAGTCAACATTACTTATTGTGCCTGTGAGGATCGGGAGATTTTGTTTTCCTACAAATGACGCAGGGCAAGGGGAACTTCCCCACGGAAGGTAATTTTTTAGTCAAGAAATGGTTAGACAGGTCATTGCAACTTGTGAAGAAATTATTTTTTTCAGTAAATGCTTAACCAGGGCTAGTGTATTAGATAACATGTATGAAATCATTCACTACCCTTCCTGTCCTTATATCTTGGCCATTTAATCCACTGAAAATTGGCAGTTTTGCAACAGATGTTTCCCTCGCAAGACACGACCCAGTTTTGACAGTCTTATCTGAACAATGGATGCTAAATTCCAATTTAACAACTTGTAATATCAAGAGAGTCATTGTAAGTAAAGGTGTAAGTGGATTTGCCAACCCTACAGGATTGTCCTGAAGTCTTCAATAATTGAAGGTTAATACCCAGTATGCTTCAAGTAGCCTTGGAAGAACAATGTAGAAGCATGAAAAAAAGTCATTTTCTTTTGAAAACATTTGGCTTATTATTAATAAATATTTCAAAAGTTGAGGCTGGGACTAAATGGTGTTTGACAGATAGCCAAGCATCATCTAATCCAGTAACAAAGAGCCTTAATTGTTTTTCAGCTGGTGTGGGAAGGCAGGGCCTGTGAGGATTGACAGGTCAGATAACAAATGAGGAGACATGGTGGGTGGGGGAAACAGGACAGGTTGCAGATGGAAGTTCACATGATTAAATTTCCAGGAGTACATGCAACAAAAGTTTGCAACATTAGATGTGTTCTAAAATGTTCATTAAAAATTGATTTTCAGTAAAATCCTTCAATGAAATATTTTCACATCGTATCAAAGTCACAGGTCGTGTTCAATGTTGCTTCAATTCCTTTCAGATTAATTTGAAGTTTCAAATACCTCCATGTTTTCTTTGATAAATTTCTAGTGTTTGCTACCAAATAGGTAACTGCTAGATAATTGTAGTTTATTTTGTTTCAAATAACTTCCATAATTGCTGTTCAATATCTCCCTCCCTTCCCCTTTCTCTCTTGCTTTTCCCCCCACCTTTTCCAGCAGCTAATTTCAGCTAAACAAAAGGTTCTGGATATTAAAAGAAATATATAATTTTCTACTTTTACAGGCTGTTGTCTGATATTTTGCTTCCTGGTAAAGCAATGCTTCAGTTTTAAAATTCTCATCTTTGTTTTCAAACCACTCTGATCTCACCCCTGCCTATTTTTGTAATCTCTTCTGGCCCTACAAACCTCCAAGAGTTCGATGTTCTGCTTCTTTTGATCAGTTGAACATCCCTGAGTTTAATCACTTCATGATTGGTGGCTGTACCTTCTGCTGCCAAGGTCCCAGGCTCTGGAACTGCCTTCCTAAATCTCTCTGCAGCACTCTACCTCTCTCATATTGCTACTTTAAAACATTTCTTAAGGTCTATTGATTTGACCAAGCTTTTAGTCACATGCAGATATACTCATATATGTCTGTGCAATATTTTGTTTAACTGTGTGTGCATATTAAATTACAATTGTTCATTTCAAAATAAAACTACACATGGCTTTCAACAATTTATCGGCGATTTAGTAACTATGAGGAATGGTTATATAGTAACAACACCTTGGGACAGTAAAGGTGCTATGTAAATGCAAGTTGTTATCATTTTTATGTCTTCCATTGTACTATTTCATTGTTTCATAAGTGACTAAAGAGCAAAGAACTAGCTGTGTACTGCAGACTTACAATGGCGGTATTTTTATTACCATTTCTGAGGGCATAATATGATACAAAAAGGTATCCTGTATGACAGTAAGACCCTTAAGCAGTCAGGTATTGAGAAGAAAAATTTTCTTTCCTGCGGGATAATTTTCCACTCCCCCTCTCCACCACTTTTTCCATTGCTTTTTTTTAAATTTAACAACGTAAACCTGCAAAACATGTTTACCCAAAGAGGCTAATGCAATTGTCTAAGGTTTCCCTCTTGGAGGATATCCCAGTGCGTGGGAGTTGAGATTTCCCTCATGGCCCTCCAGACGTAACATGAGGAATTGTCTGCCCCTTCTGTCTGATGCATAACAACTTCTGTTTCTGTGTTTCTGAAAATGAAGTGCTACTGGCTATTAATGATTTGTCTTTTCCACTCTGAGACATTAGCCAAGAACTTGCTCAAGAGCTTTAACTAATGTATAACTATTCCTCATAGTTGCTAAATTGCTGATAAATTGTTGAAAGCCATGTGTGGTTTCATTCTGAAATTAATGGTTATAATTTAAAGCTCTGGCAAGGCATGTTTTTCACATTCTGATTGGACTATATTGTATATTTTCACTCTGCATTTTATTACCTGTCTGTAAGGAGTCCGCATGATTCACAAGATACCTCTGAAAACAGCTGATGCTCTCTGCATTAATGTAAAGCGAGTGCCCATGCCTAAATATTGCCTCAAATTTTACGGTCAATTGTAAAGGAACAGCATTTGCTTTCATAATGCTTATGCTACCCATAGGCTTTTCATTGGTTTTTTTAGTGATAACTTAAGGTATTTAGAAATTCTGTTTTCAATGCTACCCCGCTAAAGGGATCAGTGCTGTGTGAAAGCAAGGCCAGCAGCATGCCTTTTCAACCAATCAGATTAAAGAATTCTCATTGAGACATGCAGAGACTAAACCAGGAAGTGCAAGTGAAAATATTGTATTCAATGTAAAAATCATGCACAAAAAATGAATACAAAGTGAGTACGAGGAAGATGGTATGCAATGAATACGAAAGAAAAATAAACTGAAAATGTAGTGATTGTAAAGAAGTCAGTCAGTTGGACATCACGGAATCTGATTTCCCTGATTGGGTCTGTTAATCTGATCCAATCAGGGAGCCCTGGCTGACATATAAACAGGAGTCAGACATCCTGTTCAGTCTGAGAGCTGGCTCTGAGGGAGGTGGAT